GAAAACCTGGCCCTCTCTAGCATGCTATCAAGAAAGGGGTGACCTAGCAAAACAGGAAACTTTTAGGTACTAACTGCTCTCCTCCAGGCAAACCCCACAGGAAAAAAGCTAGTGGATTCACTCGGCGAAGGTCAGTGTCGAGCCGGAGCTGACCCCCTCACCTCCCCCTTCTCACCGGGCCAGTATCAGGGGACCTAGTGGGAAGACAGGACTGTCCCCTGCTTGTCCGTAAGGAAGCACTCCGTTCCAGCCCAGTCAGAGTAGTAGTGGCAGAGGTCTGGTAGCAGCCTGAACACCCACACATACCCCGTCCTAACAAGAAGCCCCTCACTCCCTGCCCCCCAGGAAGCCAGTGTAGAACCTGAATTTCCACCCTCAGCCCGCAGCAAAAAGGCAGCACCCCCGTTCCTCTGCTAGCGCAGCGTCAGAGGAGGCCTGAGAAAATATGTTATCTACATTCAGAGTCTCAGAACCTACGATCCCAAATACCCAGGCTTTAATTAAACAAATCACATGTCCACAGTCCTGGTGGGGGGGATGAGGGCCATCTGGGTCAAGTGGCATAACGTAGTTCATAAAGACAATGTCCTGCATCCAAGTGCGGTCAGTAGTGGCTGGGATCTTAAACGCGTGTGACTGAGCAGCTAAGGTGCAACTATTGGCCTCTGCTTTTCCTGAGGAAAGAAGAGAGAAGGAAGAAGCCAAAGCTTGAGGAAACACTGGGCCCAAAGGACGAATGGGCCCCGTGGCCATGGCCTCTGACAGCAGAAGGACCAGCGGGCTCCGTGAGGCCACCACCAACCTCCCTAGCCAGCGTCACTGTAGGAGGCCCCAGACAGAGGGAAAGAAAAGTGTAGAAGGACCTGCAACTTCATTCAAAACACAGCAAACCAGGCTTATTGGTCTACTCTACGTTAGTGGAACCCCTAAGACTATGACCCTTGGGCATTGTTCAGACTCAAATCTGAGTCCCGGAGAGATTACAGCCAACAACAGCTAGGGCTGTAAAGCTAACAGTAAAACCTATCAGGAGTGTGTTCCTCAGACGTCCAACTCTACCAAGCCAACAGGCCAGTATTTGCCCGGAAGCAGCATGCCGACTGCAGGCAGGGGTGGGAAAACGGAATGAGTGGAAACAGGAAACCCCGGTGGACCGTGGGGAGCGCGGATGTATTGAGGAGATTGCAGCCAAAGTCGTGAAGCAGTCTAGGCACAAATAATTCTAGGAAGCGAATTTGCCTTGTAAACTTTCACCTCAACCACACTAGAAAAAATAAAATAAATCACACGATGCAGCAAGCCTAGGGAGATGTCAGTTTGAATGTGAAACAGGAATCAACACCAGATGTCAGGCCTAGATGACACACATGTTAGAATTATCTGGCAACGACTCTAAAGTAGTTATGATAAAATATGCTTCAGCAAGCAATTAGGAACGTGGATTTTTTTGTCTCTGAAAGGATATATAAAGAAAAGTGGAAGTTTGAGAATTGAAAGTTAAAATAAGTGAAATTCAAAATTTCGTGAATGAACTCAAGAGCAGAATGGAAAGAATAGGAAAAAATGGTTATTTAATCTAAATATCAGACAAAAGTAATAAAAGGAAAAAATAAATGGAACCTATAACAAAGGATCAATATGGAATATTGGTCATTCGAGTTCCAGAAGAAGAAAAGAAGGTAGGAATGAAAATTTATTTGAAA